CTCCTCCTCTCCCGTTCCCGTTACCTGTAGCCCACTCTCACTCTTTCCCGTCCCTCCCTACCTTTCTGTGAGTCTCTCGGCGTGCCCTGGTATGATCAAAGACAGCTTTGTGACACCGTGCGAGGCATCCAGGAAGCAGAAAACATCAAACCACTAAAGAGCAACTTGCAAACGGACGGACACAGAGACACAGAGGCATACATGCGAGTGTGTGTGTGTGTGGGTGGTAAACAAATGAATAAATTAGCAAGACAAGAGAGAGGGATGACTTTGTCTCTACCTTCAGCACGTCGATGAAAGGTAGGAAGGTGTCCCTCTGAAGTCCGTTTTTGTACAGATCTGAAAGAGGAGGGAGGGCCTGTATTAGAGCTGCTGTTTAGCCTCCTAATAATGTCATTCCCCCGCCACAGATTGGCAGATAAAGTGGCTATTGATGAACTGAAGGATGGGTGGGGAGGCGCGACAAAAGGACTGGGACCAGGGGAGAAAAATGGATTTCTCTACCGGCAGCGGCAGCAACATAAAATTCATTACATTCCCAAACAATGGTGGCGAGAGAAAGGACCGTCGCCTTTTCAGCACGGACAATGTCCACAGCAGCTCGCTGAATAGAGGTTTCAATTAGCTCGGCTGGAACAAATTACATCTGAAGTAGCATCCCTGATAGACAGATAAAACAGATAGGGATTCACACACAAACAGGACAAAGACACGCACAGACACACGCACGGCCAGCCTTAAGCTCTCTCCAGCTGCGAATGCAAACAAGTGGCTGTTGTTGATGTTTGGGCTTCAGCTTGGTACAGTAGGACCTGACACACAAACAAGCCTCGCTCACTAACTCGTACACTGTGTTGGACTGCGCCGCCAGCCACACACCACTGATGCTGAGTTAGAAGAATAGAGTTCAATGTACCGGGACGTACACTTCAGAAGACCTCCGACGTCTGTGCAGTAAGTGTGACAACAGATTAATGTCACGCCTTTAATGTGTTCATCTGTGAGGTTTGAACATCCTGCTTGGTGACACCACAAAGCACAAAAGTACTATCAAACTATTTCTATAAGAAGGGCTGCAGGCGGCTCAGTGGTTTGCACCGTCACTGGCGTCCCGGTGAGGACACCCGGGATCTTCCTGCGTGGAGTCTCCATGTTCTCCCCGTGCAGCGTGGGTTCTCTCCGGGTTCTCCGGCTTCCTCCCACAGTCCAGAAACATGTTGAGGTTAATTGGTGATTGTAAATTGTCCGTAGGTGTGAATGTGAGTGTGCTTGGTTGTCTGTCCCTAAGTGTAGCCCTGTGATAGACTGGTTACCTGTCCAGGTGAACCTGCCTTTGCGAGGATTAAGTGTTGTATAGATGATGGATGGATGGATGGATTTCTTTAAGATAGTAAACAGGTGCTGAACCACACCAGGGACCAGCTAGTTTCCGTATCATACGTCTATTCTAAGTGCAACGAAAGCCACTGTTAATGAAACCTAGCTCCTGTTTGCTCCATTAATCCAAACCCATCAGCTACAACAAGGGTTTTCCACTCCACCTTTTATCCCTCTAACCCTCCTCCATCACATTAAACTCCATCAGTATCTAGAAACAACACAACATTACACGTTCCAGCTCTCTGAATCCACCCTCCGAGCACATCTCCCTGAAACCAGCATCTCCACATCAATAAACATGTAAAACATCTGCCTTTCATGTCCAGTTGTCTCTTATGGCTTTCAGTGTTCCATTAACCATGTAATTAATACCAAGTAGGCGTTCTATCAAGTTTGCACGGTTTGGCGCTTTGTTCTTAATAGCTCGTATATATCAGAGACGATGGGCTTTGTCTACGAGAGCCACCGCGCTGCCATCCACTTCGTATCCACTCCAGGCTTTGAGACATCAACATCTTCTCCGAGAGAGAAAGACGTCAGACGGCACATCACGCATTTATCCCCGCCGTCTGATCCCCGTCTTGCTAATTCTTCCTCCGTCCTTGCTCTGCTGGATGTAAGTGCAGCTTCAAAGCCTGCTCTGACTGTGTCACGTCTATGAAGGTGAGAGATGCCCGACCTGCTCCTCACCGTTTCTCCTGATTGATTTCTGCAAACAGGAAGCAGTTAGGGTGGTCAAGTAAAGCTCGACTGATGGTTGCTGGATAAAACTACATGACCTACATGAAACTAAAGTAACTGTTGAGGGAGGCGAGGAGCAGAAGCAAACGCTGATGTTTTACTACTTGTCATTTTAGCTGCAAGCAAATTGTGTTCTTTTCAGCGGACCTTCAGGGCTCAGCTATTGTTTGACAGTATTTCACTGTGAGCTTTTTGTCCTCTCAGTCCAGCTGAACTTTCTGCAGATGCTCAAATTCTTTGCACCCTTGAATGGCTGCGATAAGCGGTGAAAGCTGACAGCGGTTAACAACGGCTGGTGGTTTCTAGTTTTGACATCTTGCTCACAGCCAGGTGAGGACTGGTGGACGCTGCTCATGAAAACAAATCCAATCACACGACATCCTGTGTCTTTTGTCCTCCAACAACCCAAATACCTGTGACTTTTAAGTCAAATGAGTCAGTGACACACTGAAGCAGCGTGTGCTGGAGAGAAGTTCACCTCCGGAGCCCAGAACATGTCCGCTGGTTGGAAGGCACATAATCTTTAGAAAAAAATTAATGAAACTGCCTAAACCGTAGTTTTTATCACTGGCAGAAACTGTAAAAACAGAAAGAATCTTGAGACGTTCAACTTTCCAACAGTCCCTGAAGTAATCATGTTGGATGTTGGAAAACTTTTATCACTTAGTTCTACAAGTCAAAGTTCAAAATTCACCAAAAAACAAACGTTTGCACTGTCCAGAGTCTGTAAAAAACAAAACATTTTGCACTTCTTTGCACAACTGTGAAGCCCTCAGTGACTAAGCTGCAACCAAGAGTCACATGGAGAAAGATTCAAGGACTTTTCATCTAAACCAGGGATCTCCAGCTCCGGTCCTCGTGAGCTCCTGTCCTGCAGGTTTTAGACGTTTCCGTACTGCAACACACCTGACTCACATTAATGGATCTCCAACAGCTTGTTGTCAAGTTCTACACAAGCCTGTTAATGATCCATTAATGTGAGTCAGGTGTGCTGTAGTACAGAAACGTCTACAACCTGCAGGACAGGAGCTCACGAGGACCAGAGCGAGAGATCCCTGGTCTAAACTGAGCTGAGCTGCAGGCTGTGAGGAGACAGGAGGAAAGTATGGAAACCAACTAAACATGTAAATAGTCAGATCTCTACAACATGCAGAGCCATCACTGGTGCTGCTGACACCTGTGGACACTTAGAGAAACACTGCACATGTTGATTCCCCTGTTTCTTTGCTTTGTGTAAAAACAATAAAGAACTATAGTTTTTGTTTTACTCTTTTTATGATTTAAGGCATTTATAACTTTGCTATATTGCCCAAAAGACATTTCTGAGCTTTCTCTACTCCTGTCCATGGTTGTGCTGCTTCTGCAGAGCTGCAGGACTTGAAATGAGCCCACAGTAGGTAGAAACACGAAAGGAGCAAAAAACCCAAACTGCTTTGGGTTTTGAGGATTAAGCAAAGCCTACTGGACGATCTGTCAATAGAAAAACAGTTTCTAGTTAAACAGTTAGCATCAAAAAAGACCACGTCGCTCTTTGTATGCAGCATCATAAATATGTCTCTCAACTTGGTACCAGAACAAACAGCAAAGGGCTTTTATGCAAAACATTTATAAGTGCTAAACCTTCAGCAGAGACTTATCGGCTCGTATATATGAGGAATGAACGGTTTAATAAGTGAGCAAACGTCCTCTGGGGACACTTGTTTCACTCACGAGGATGTACGGTTTGATCTGTGCTGTTAATGAAAAGCTGCAAGAAAAGACAAGATGCTAACTGTATGCTGAGAAACAACTATAAATCCATCCATCATCTCTACACCTTAATCCTCACTGGGGTCATGGGGGGCGGAGCCTATCCCAGCTGACTCAGGGTGAAGGCAGGTTCACCTGGACAGGTAACCAGTCTATCACAGGGCTACACTTAGAGACAGACAACCAAGCACACTCACATTCACACCTACGGACAATTTACAATCACCAATTAACCTCAGCATGTTTCTGGACTGTGGGAGGAAGCCGGAGAACCCGGAGAGAACCCACGCTGCACGGGGAGAACATGGAGACTCCACGCAGGAAGATCCCGGGTGTCCTCACCGGGACGTGAACCAGCGACCTTCTAGCTAACAGTACTAACAACTGCTCCACCGTGCAGCCCTGTTGAGATGCTCTATTATGTCTAATGACAGCTGGGCTGTGGGTCCTTCTAACCTGCAGCTCCATCTTTTATAGTAGAGACTCATTCCATTTCCATTTCACTCATTGCTCTACATGGAGCTGGAGTTACACACTTGCACTTGAAAAAACCGTCCTACTACAAACTATGACCTGTATGTTCAGTAACGACACACTAACAGTACATGTGTGGTGTCGTACCGTCGGGGGGTCTGTTGGAGGTGGCCACCACCACCACTCCGCTTCTGAACAGCGTCTCAAACAGCTGCTTCAGGATCATGGCATCAGCGACGTCAGTCACCTGATTGAAGAGAAGCAGATGAGAAGAGGCCACATTTATTCACTGTATAATCCACCTTTTCTTACCACACGTGTGTGTGTGTGTCTGAGGTCAAACCATGCCATCAACACTCCATGTTGATTAGTGTCATTCAGGTGTGCTCATTCAGTCCTTTTTGTCTGGTCATGGCCATTCACACTTACACGCACACACCAACGCGCACGCACATACACACCTAAACCACTTGAACTGACTGCAAAATGGTCACGAAGCGGCTTTCTGCTGAGGACAAGTAGCTGAGGCAAGGCAGCAGACCTGAGCTAATCAACGGCGGTGACACGAGGATGACTGGACGCAGGCACATAAACAAGAGGAAGAAAAGAATAATGAAAACAGAGCGATGTGGATCAGGCCTGGGGTCACGATGGCAGACAAAGCCTCCACCAAAAATGGCCATATAAAGGCAAATAAAGGTGCATGTGTGTGTGTCTATGTGTGCGTTGTATAAACCAGACACAAGGCTATACGAAGTTAGAATGCATAAATCCAATTCAAACGCCTGCTGCCTTTTTCATCTACATCATTTCCATGAGTCCACAATAAACAAAGGTCGATGACAACACTGAAGCAAGGACGTTTATGAGTCGCTGGCTGTTAAATGAAGAGCTCTGACCTTTCTATTAGTAATCCAGTGCTCTCACTTTTGTTCTTATTCTCTCATCTCCCTCTCTTCCACCTATGTTGCTCTTTTGAACATCCATAAAGGGAAAAATCATGTTACCCTGTGATGCACGCTAGTCAAAGCGGCGTGCATTTAACACGCCTGATTAAGCGCGGTGACCTGCTGATGAGAGTTGAACATGAAAGAAACTGAATTATTTGCTTTTTTCTGTTTAAAGTAGTCCCGTCTTGAGCTGATTGTCGTTTGATATTCTCTAAAATAAAATGTTTTCTTGCAGGAAAACAACAAAAATCCTCCAAAACAAAGGAAAGCATCACATGTTGGGGTTCTAGTGCCGCTGATGGACACCACGTTATGGACATTTTAAGTAAAATGTGACATACGTTTTAGGTTATTTATTTAATTAAAACCCTTTAAAGGAGGAGGACGCCTTGAATAAAAGTGAGACTTGTGAGCTGTGTGTCCAACGCCCTCGCCTCTTACCTACTTTCCTGTATATAACAGACACTTGTGACAGCCATACCCACAGCATATGCCTCCTTTCATACTCTGGAGAGTCTTCTGCTTTTACGTATTAGCCCCACTGCCCTCGCCAATACTTGATTAACATTTGTGTTAAAGCCTTGATTTCGCTAAGGAGAGGTGGCTAAGGGCATCAAATTAGCCCGTGTGTGTGTGTGTGTGTGTGTGTGAGTGTGTGTGTGAGTGTGTGTGCGTAATGAGAATCAACAGGAAGCCAAGGCTCTGTGTCTCTCTGAAGGGGCCCCCATTTTCTCCGACCACAGGATTTTATTTTCATTTCAAAAGAATCATTTAAAAATGACCTTTTATACGGCATGGATTTGTTTATTCATGTGCCCTCAACATGGGCATCGTATAAGGGGCAATATTGATTGCTGAATGAGCAGGGGGAGAGCGACAGAGAATGGGCACCCACAGAATGAGAAAGGTGGAGGGGACTGATGTAGCACTTGTGGAGCACAAAAATAATGGTGCAATCTCTGTCAGCCATTGCCGATATTTAAATGAGCATCCAATTACTCAAGCGGCTGTCAGTTTACAGCGAGGCGCACGGGTGCCAAATTAAACCTCTTTTGATGTTACACCTCTTTATGTACACAACCTATGAGCAATTTCACAGAGGCTGCACAGTGACTGAGGCCCTGAGACAATGACGCTCAAGCGTTTTCTTCTCACTCTTCTTCTTCGTCCTTTCTCGCTCTCTCCCCATCTTTCCATCTCGGACCTCTCAATGGCGAGTATTCATTAGGAGAGCCGGGTGGGGGTCGTAAAAGGAAGGAGGGGAGCTACAAATTACTGATAATGGCACGGCGCTAATGAAGAGAATGGAGAAATGTCATTAGCATTTAAGAGGATAAGATCCATCTGACCCGCCGCCGCCAGTCGCTTTCTAGCTCCACTCACTTAAGGAAGCAGGAGAGTGCGACTGATACCCAGAGCCTCATTTGCATGGCTGAGTGGAGGAGGATGCTGATTGGTATAGACCCCCGCACCCACAACTCTCCCAACCTCGCAACCTCTTGTTTATGCATCACAAACAACGCGCACATGTCTGCTTGTTTCCCCTCCATTCACCGGTAGCAACAGTCGACGAGCGAAAACAGCAAAGCTGGCGACGGCAAACAAAACAAATCAATGAGAATGCACAAACAGCGCCGCAGCCTCAAATGTGAAAGACGGGCAGATGAAAGGAGCAGCTCTTGATCCTCGGGGATGCATAGAGAGTGATTAGAGGGAGCAACTGCACCTTGCGTGACCTCTGACCTGCTGGCATTAACTGTAATGATATCAGGAGGACGGACGGCATTGTGCTGCTAACAGATGTGCTCGGCTGGCTCATGATAAATACAGAAACACGTGTCGTTCTTCAGTGCCGTGAATAACTAACGAGCTCACAGCGAGCGCCAGTCGTGGCTCTCTGACACCAAATAAAGACAAATTCTGTGTCACTACTGACTGAAGTCGTGGATGACTGAGAGGAAACTAACCATGAAAGGCGTAAACAAGCATCACGAGCCCAAAACTGACTCAGATTTAATTTACTGACAGTGAAAATATCACCATAAATCACACAGCGTAATCCTATTAAATCCCAACTTTACTGACTACTCAGGACAGAGACTGCCTCCTGGATGTCCTTTTACAATTCTGCTGTATTCGCAAGAAGCCACTAGGTGTCCCCAGTCGTGCTTTTTTATCAAGAGAAGAAGTGCACGGTTGTCTAGACAAGCTGACCACAGATTTAACATCTCCTCGAAATTAAAAACACACAACCTTTAATGTTTTTCTGCGGCTGGTCTAGAAGGAAGAAACTACACCACAAACAGAAGTAAAATATCACTTTGTCTGATTCCTCTCCACAGTTTTTATAATCTCTGTGAGTGACAGTATTTCCTGTGGCTTTGCTCTGACACCGGCTTTCAGTTGGGTTCTAACACAACATATCTGCTGCCACCTATGAATATGTAATATGCAGGTAGCTACGTGCAACATGTGCCACAATAATGCACCAATAACTGCTTTGGCCTGCAGGGAAAACATCTTTAGTATTAAAAGACTGATGGTCAGATCAGCTCAAAATGTGTTTTATCTGAAACTCTATTCAAGTTTAAAGCTAATTTTGTGCAGCTGTCTGGCTATTTTCACCACTGCATATATAAACATGCAAAAGTAAAATTATTTATAGTAAATCCACAATTTGTCCCAAAGGATGCATTTATTATATGAACATAAAGATATATGAACCTCATCGCCCAGCTAGCAAGTCGGTTTTTAAAAATAACACATGCAAGCATTAGCACGGACATATTACAGGAAAATGGTACGAGCAGGATATTTACCTGTAGGGCTCAATGATACGTAAAAAATAAATAAAAATCCTATTATTGCAGCAGATCTTGTGATTGTGATGTAATTTCAGTGAGAAAGTTCATTTTTTGCATTTATTTCCTACTGAAACAAATAGAAAAAATGATGATGTAACTAAACAAACAAGCTCCATGAAGTCAGGGGAGCATGATGTGCAGGACACAGCACCTCTGTAGCACCACAACACAGCATTTAAAGGAAAGAGTATGTCGAGACATATTTTAATCAAAAAACTGCAGCTCCTGCAATCTGGACATTTCTAACTATATTTCTATTAACTGTTCATCCCTGTTGACCAGCATCACGTCAGCAAATACAGACGTCTGAATTTCAAAACACACGTTTAAAATTCTCATTGTCTTGTTAAAGCTAATTTTCACGTTTTAAGAACAGATAAATTACACACACACACACACTCACACACACTCACACACACTCACAGTGTCTGCAACATCCTCGCTCACCTGAAACTCATCAAAACACAAGAGGCAGGTCTCATTGCTGATCTCCATGGCAACCGGTGATATGGGGTCATAGGTGAACATTTTCCCTAGCCTTCGTTTTGGCAGGCTTTGTTTCCTCCGATGGATCCCTTTAAGCAGCACACAAACGTCAGGCACATCTTAAAGCACACCTGCATTGGCACCGTACACCCGCTGACAACAACGAATAAAGCAGTAATTTCACCTGTATGCATAATGTTAGACGATTAGCGAGGGGGTGGGGGGGCTTTCAGGACAAACACGGGGATAAATATAGGATCTCCGCCGCATGAGGAGTCAGACAACTTCCACAAAGTCATGCAAACCGACTCTCAGCTGTGAAGTGGGAGGATGCTACTAACTTTTGTGGATGTCCAGCATGAAGCCGTTGAAGTGGACTCTCTGTTTGCGGCCGTTCTCCACGTGGGAGTAAAACAAATCCATGAGCATGGTCTTGCCTGTGCCTGAGAGGGAGAGAAATCAAGCAAAAGGAAATTCTGACAGCTTCTGTCCTCAAAGCAGACGTCTTTCAGAGCTTTAGCATCACAGAAAAAAAAACACTGAGATATTAATTTTTGTGTAGAATACGGGATCTTACCAACATCTCCATAGATGTAGAAGCCTTTGGGTGGTGGTGGTGGAGGTGGTGGTGGTGGAACGGTTGCCTCCTTCGGTGTGAAAAAGGAGAAATAAGGAGCCGACAGTAATAGTGTACGCTGTGTTACATTAAAAGCTGCTTGTAATCAAACACTTACAATGCAGCACAGTTCAGAAAGGTTACTCAGAACGAATGCATACATTAAATCCTTATTATACGCACAAAACACTGCGGCTGGTGACCTAAATAAACTTCTTTATATTCATTACCATATATGTGTGAATCATCATTTAATAAACAAAGTATGCTAAGGCATTAAGCCACCACTACAGTGTGAGGTTTCACATTCTCCAGACTAGCCCGCTGCAGGGGAGGAAGACAAAGGGGATCTAATCAACAAGACAAGCCAGGGTTCCCACGAAAGAAAAGCATCATCAGAGGAACAATGGGGGGATTTGTCAGACAAAACGGAGAGGACTGGATGAGGCTCCATACGAGATGGAGTGGACTTGTCTGTGCAGCCTGTTTAGCGCTGCTAATTGTGATACGGTACTGTTGCATTGAGGTGCTGCTGGAAGTCATTGTGCTGCCTGCCTCCTATTATCAAAAGGTCCTTGCTTTAAAAAAAAAGAAGAAGAAGAAGAAAAAACCGTCTTCTGTGTGACCAAGCTGAGAATATCGAGTAAAGCCAAATATCTCTAAAGGGGACCCAAGCCATGTCAACGACGCATATGTCATCGCTTTAATCAATTATTACTGGAAGCATATGCAAGTGGACAAATTAGAGATCGTTTTACTGGCTGTAGGACCACTGTGATCGAACGTTTGTCCATCTCTGTAACCGGGCAACACCAAATAGCTCCAGAGTTAGCTCACTGCCTAAACAGAGACGATTGTCCTCTTAAAATCTAATTTAGCCACAACCTGATGGGGATGGTACTCAGTGTCCATGCACTTGGTGTCCACCGCACAAGGAGCACTTGACTCTGGTAAATGTGGACAATGGCAGATTGAAATCTAAATTAAAAAACAAACTTGCTACCCATGTTCTCTCTCCCGCTCCTCCCCCTGCGTCCCTCCACCGCCTGTCCTGAGCTGGATGTGAAGTCCTGGAAGAGCAACAAGCCTTTCCTGTCTGGTCTGGCTTAACAGTGTGTGACTTCTCCCTGACTTCCCAAGCTGCCCTCTGGCATGGTGGGTAATTGTTAGTGGTGGCTGGTAGCCATTCTGCTACGGCAGAGTGGAGAAGGACAAGGCCGTCCCTCAGCCACTCTGTCTCGCTGAGCTCTGTGGCCTTGTCTCACCTCCTGGTGAAGGATATAGACTGGCACATGAGCGGAAAGTTCACATGCAGGACATCGGCACTTTGGCTTTTAAATGACTTTTGGAAAAAGTGTGTTTGAACATGTTCCTTTACAGCCAAAGATGTCATGTCTCGCACCAGCACGGTTAATGGAGCGACTGTGGGGGCCAAAGTGAGGTTTAACTCGTACGAGGGTCCCGCTGGAGGCCTACCGCGTACAGGAGGACTCTATGATGCAGGTCTGACTTGAAGAGGGTGGCTCCCACGGAACAATGGCCCATTGTCAGCCAACCATCCGCAAAACCACGCCACATTGGGTCAATATTAAGTCAAGTGTACTCCCCTCACAGACTTGGTCAGTTAGTGAGGACAATGGCGGCACTTTCACAGAGAGAACAGACACCAAGAGGACAGTGGTGTGACCTGATTCAAACCAGAATAATTGCGTAAGTACTCCAGTCAGTGTGTGTGTGTGTGTGTGTGTGTGTGTGTGTGAGAGAGAGAGAGAGAGAGACAGAGCAAGAAACAAGGTGCAAAAGGAGAGGGGCGGGCGGGCCGGGCTGGTTGGTGGTGGTGTTGATAGCCTCACACCAAAGTATTTGTCAGAGTCCCAAATCAAAAGCAAAAAGGACAAGAATGGCCCAGACAATGGGGATCCCCTCATTACTGCCTGGGGACGGTGAGAGAGTGAGAGGGGTGCCTGGACGGGCCCAGCGGGAGGTCTGCCCTGCTGCCTTCCAAAATCTCTGCCTAACCCTATGTGTCTGTGCCAGCCAACCAACAAAAACACTCCCACCACTAAATACTAGACAGTCAGCTCCCCTGACCTAAAAACAACAACAGCCCCCTGCATTATGCCGTTCCAAAACTCACATGCACAATAAACTTCCCAGACCCCTACCCTCCCTTTGACCTGAACCCCGTGGCCACCATCAGAGATGCAACTGGAGTACAGTGCCGTCGACTCTGTGAAGTCTCTCCGTATGTTAGACGTCAGTGGGGGTCTGGACCCAGTGACAGTCCAGAGCCCGACACTGTGCAAAGCTCAGAACACGTCCACGCTGCCTTGTTCGTCCTAAACACTCTTTTTGCTTCACACTATTTTTACTTGGGTCCGAATTCTCTGAAACATATACGTTTCCCCACAAAACAATCCCACGATGGAAAGAAAAGCAGCATGTGCTATACTTAAATTCAAACAATGCAAAGTGATGCAAAGTGGTTCAAAGGTGTCTAAAGCTCAGCTGCCTATTCCGGGTATACGTCAGGGAATAACAAAGAGAGTAAGTTCATACGTAGCACTAGTCTGGAGCACTAAGGTTAAGTCTTGACCTTGGAACAGAGTTTAGATCCTTTAACCAGCTTTTATCTGAACTTCTAACCACATCACGATCTTCAGTAGCAGACAGAGTTTGCTGTCAGTGAAATAAATCTGTTGACATGTGAGGAGCTCAGAATCTGTTCATCTGTACAGCTTAAAAAAAAACAACATAGCAGCCAGAGAGCACATATACCAACGCTGTCAATGACAACCCTGGAAAAAGCTACTCGATAGCGAACCGTGAGTTTGAATTGTGTGGTTAAGCTAATAATCTGGATCCTTTCTATATGAACCGTGAGTGAACAGGAAAAGTGATGTGAGCTGATGTTTTGTGTGTCGTAACAGATTAACTCCAGTCATTGGAGTGGAGCTGTTTTTAATGTTTTTAATGTTTTTAATGTTTTTAATGTTTTAAATGTTTTAAATGTTTTAAATGTTCATGCAGGTGGTTTATCCTCCTTTGTGCAGACAGTTGGCTAAATCAGAGCAAAGCATTAAACAGGTGATGGCTTTATGTCATTGTGGTTCGCAGAGCTGAACAATTAATCAATTTGAATTTAATCAAATCACAATTTTAAACAATGCAATGAGCAAATCACAAAGGTTGCAGTTCAGAATATACGAGGTGTAGCTATTAAACAGCGAGACTGCTTTAGTTTGAGCAGACTGAAACTTTCAGGGGTTGTTGTTGCTGCCTGTTGATCAGATGTACAGCTCACACGCTGACACGAGCCTCGTCTCGTTATTTAAAAGCATTCTGCAGCACTTCAACCTCAGCATGAAACTGTTGGATCAGTAGTTTTACACATTGGTTCTGTCCTTCTTGTGTCACGTGTTTGATGCCATCTCATGTAGTCATGATCCTTTACATGTTTTAGATCGACTACACAGTGAACACTGAAGTTCAGACGGCACTGAAAAAGCTTCTGTGTGGTCTGGATCAGTTCTGTTGGTGGAGACACAACAAAACAACTAAACATGCAAGGAATCATTTAAATTAGGAAGATTAACACAATACAGCCATAAAACATAATCTTAGCTCTACAAACTGTAAAATAATCAGTGAGTGCATGAAAGAGACGACACCCGACAACCTGCCTCATCCAGGACTGCTGTAAAACGCACAACTTCTTCAGGATCATTCCTGTAATAACTCCTGTACCTTGTCAGTTTGTTCAGCACTTCTGCTTCCAGCTGATGTGATGTCAGCCTGAAGCTGATCATCTGGTGGGTTCAGGTAGATGCTGTTACTGTAGGTCTTCATGGTGCGCTGCAGCTCAGCCAGCTGCTGGAGGACGTGTCTCTGCTGGACGTCTGTCCTCAGGTGGCCACACCGAACCAGACCATCAAAGTGCTCAACGGCTTCACTGGAGCCACAAACATCTGCTGCTGGAGCTTCAGAGGAGCAGGAAGGTGCAGAAGAGCTGCATGTCCTCCAGCTGCTGGAACCTGACAGCACTGCAACAAAACACACCCGGTGTAAATGATGCTTCAAAAACACCCTGGTTCAGTCAGATGGGAGTGAAAAAGCACGCAGAGGTTGTGTAGCCGGCAGAGGTTGTGTCGTGTAGCCGACAGAGGTTGTGTCGTGTAGCCGGCAGAGGTTGTGTTGTGTAGCCGGCAGAGGTTGTGTGTGTAGCCGGCAGAGGTTGTGTGTGTAGCCGGCAGAGGTTGTGTGTGTAGCCGGCAGAGGTTGTGTGTGTAGCCGGCAGAGGTTGTGTTATGTAGCCGGCAGAGGTTGTGTTGTGTAGCCGGCAGAGGTTGTGTTGTGTAGCCGGCGTGTGTCAGCCTCACACCCACTAACACTCAGTCTGAAGCTCGACGTGCGTTGCAGCATAAACTGACCTTTTCCACTGCAGCGGCTCGGCAGAGGGCAGAACTTCCTTTGACTCAGAACAGCGTGTTTTAGCAGAACCCGTTGTGAGCATCTGACAGCTGCAGGCAGCGCGTACGTCGCCATGATGTTTCAAAATGCCACAACTTTATTGACACTCATCGACGAGTGCACGAGCACGACACCAGCACGGGACTCATTTAACATTTTTCGGTGTTTAAAATTCATAAATCTGTTAGTATCTATTACAATACACGTACACAACTTTCATTACATTTTTAAAAAATAGATAATTAATGACGTTTTGCACATTTTAGACGCGAAAGCTGAACAATGGAAACAAACTGGTGCACATTTTCAGCCAGTATAGATATCTGCTTTATAGCTATCATCATCGCTTTTTAAATATTTTTTAAAAATAAAATAAAACTCAAATATTTAGTATATTTTTGAGACATAAATCCTGTGTGTGCAGAATGGCGTTACTGACATGTTTACATGACAGCAGAAATTGTTTTATACTATCAGCGGTGCCTGATCTACATTAATGCATTTATGACCACGGTGTCATGAAGGTTCCGAGCAGTGCCCGCTGGCGGGTTGTAAACAAACCGAGCAGCAGGTGGCCGAGCAGCGTCAGCTGAACCTCAGCTGATCGGAAGTGCAGCTCGACGACACGTCAAGTTAGCGCCAGTAAAGAACGGAGCAATACAGGAAGTTACGTAATTTACCTTCAACATAAAGTTTACACTTTGACTTTTTAATCCAAACAACGACAACATCACGTGGAAAAGTGAAAAACACAAATCATGGTATCATTACGCACATAAAATATTGCACGTTTTCTCACAAAATCTTTCACTACACGACCGCCACGTTTGTCAAATATTTAATTGTGAAGGGCACCAGCGGAATATACATATGTGTACTGTGGCTAACATATCACGATCTGTAGCTGCTAGAAGGACAGGGAGAAATGGCTGCTGATGCCATAGCTGACACAAGAAGGCTCTTCACCAAGCCTCAGAACCTAAATGATGCTTATGGACCTCCGAGTAACTTTCTAGAGATTGACGTGAGCAACCCTGAGACGGTCGGGGTCGGCAGAGGAAGATACACCACGTATGAAGTCAGACTGAAGGTGAGCCTGCTGTAACAAGTGCTAATGACGCTAGCTTCCAAGCTAGCTACCTAAGCTAGCTAACCTGTCTTTTTTTCGGTCAAAGAAAGTTTTAACTCCTTGACATTAGGGTTGCTTCCATCAGCAAGACGCGTGTGTAACCACAGAGTCTATATTTAAATGTATAAGTGATTAAGTAGTGTGAAGGGTCTTTGCAATAACGAGTTAGCCAACGCTTGCTAGCACGCTAGCAACGTTTGTCTGGCTAACAGTGGTTGGCTAACTGACATTACACTAATTATTAGTTACTGGTGTTAGCGTTCCGCTGAAGTTATTTGACTAAGTGATAATGAATACGTCTTCGAAACGTTTTGTCAACAATGTTAATAAGTGCTATTGACATAATATTGAGAATGTTTGCGTTGACGGCCTCGTGAACGTTTTCATCGCCCTGGGAGGGAAGACAATTTGTTTACATTTGCCTCCAGTGTGTCTCTACAGTGGCGTAAGAGTGCAGCTGCTCCACCGGTTCACACAAGCATACTGTCTGCAAATCAAATGGGCTGATGTAATCTCTGTATGAGATAAACACACTATGATCAAATAATCTCTCTACAAAGTTAACGGCTTCCTGAACAGCTCAGAGCTGGACTCCAGCCACACCTCATTTTCTGACTGCAGAGTCTAGATAACAGCATCGGTCACATTTGTGTGAAGCTCTGCTTGATTTCACAAATGTTCCATCAAAAGCCAGCTACAGTAGTATGCTGTAGGACGGGCCTAAAGGAGAACGTCATTGCTTGAGTCAGCTTCTCTGGAATTGGAGACAGGATGCAATCCGCTGCCTGATCCTCTCCAGCTTCAGCCACCCCCCAACACGTTTCCTTCCTCCAGCTCCAGTGAGGAACATGCTGGGGAGAACAGCTCCCTTCATTCTCAGAAAACATCCTGTCATCCACTTGGAGCCGACTTGGTTGTTGGTCATCATGCTTACATAAATGCTTTTTAAACGTGTCTTATGCTGTTAGGTAATACTTAGCAGAACTTTGACATTACAATTGAGCAACTAGTGAAGAGTGTAACGATTAGACCGTCCTGGAAATTGCAAAACACGGATCCTGTGTGGGATTTTCACAGGCAAAATCACTCAACTTCATGGTCGAGGCCAAAGCGGGCTAAAAGTGATGTTAGACTGATTCTGAGCTGTGCTGGTGCTGTTTTTCAAAGCACATACAGAAGACGATCACACAAAGTTATGTAAAAAGAAAAAATACACTAAAGTTTTGCTTACCAACTTTTTCTCAAGTTTTCAAACATGTCACATGACCTCCATTTGCATATTGTTTGACGAGTTGTCATCCAACTGAGTTTGTCATGTGAAGCTCAGTTATAAAGTCAGAATAGATGAGAAACAGGAGAGGTGCTCAAGACAAGGAAAAATCTAAATATCTGCAGTTCAGTTACAACTCAACAGGATCTGCTTGAAAGCTCCAGAGAAAGGAACTTAAAGTACCTTCGTTTTTTTTTACTTTTTCCCCCAATTGCTATTTTTAAAAAAAAAAAATTTCAAATGACAAGAATGAACTGTGGAATGTGTTTAAATAAGGTGTCGTCTAGGGGCTCAGTTTACTTGTTTTTTTTTTTTTTTTTTTCAAATGACAAGAATGAACTGTGGAATGTGTTTAAATAAGGTGTCGTCTAGGGGCTCAGTTTACTTGTGGTAAAATACAAGTCTTAATTAAATATGTAGAAGCAACAGCAAAGCAAATAGGTTTATTTTAGTTTATTTAAAAGCCAACCTGGTAGCTGCTGCCTTAAACATTAAGTCCAGTTTGTATTATTCTCTTTACACCGTTTTCTGGATAGATTCATATTTTCTTTTTAAGGACCTCTTATTTTCCGTGTGTCATTTCAGTCTTTACGTACAATTCTGTGTAATTGTCGTGCGTGTTTTTAATATGCAGGCTGAGCTGACGGTCTAAAACTGTCAGGCAGTCACTGGGCTCATCTGATTGTCACTTCAGTTAACTGACACCCCTGTAGTTAGCGGCCTGGAGTATTTAGATTGGTTACCAGCCCTCAAGTATTTCATAGTTTCACTTTACCTTAAAGAAAACGGGTTTAGAGGAGAGAAGCCGTCTCCAGGCATTAGCGTTGAATATAAGGCTACTGTACTTGATTAGCGTGTAATAATTAGCATATGCGTGTAATCAGCATTATTGTGCACTTCATAGCCCTGTGTGACCCTGCTTTGCATAAGACCACAGAAGAAGCGGCGCATCCCTCACTTCTCAACAAACGTGGTGTCAACTTAGCTTTGCTTCTCTCCTTCTCCTTTCTTCAGCTTTCTTTGGGAGCATTTTGCTCCATCTCCAGCATTTTAAGAGCGTTAGCCACAATGCCTGGCCTGGAATGCACGCTGTTTGCTTTGCTCTCTTTGTTTTTGTTTGTCATCTTCTCTATCTTTCCTATAATTTTACATCCTGCTTTAATTTGATCACCTCTTTACGACGTACAGTTTCTGTTTATAACCTTTTCTCCTGTTCTCATCGCTGCCCCGTTATCCACCCCGAAATCGAGAGAGCTCTTGTGGCCGCACTGAGAGAGTCTGCCTAATCCCCTCATTGAGAGAAGAGAAGAATGAAACAGGCCAGGGTGTGGGGGAGCTGGGGCATTTACTCCCCATCCTCACCCCCCCCTCTACCTCCACCCCCACCCATGGGAGGGCAGAAAGCCACCCCCTCACCAGTCTTCATCCCGTTGCCCACTTATCCTATTTCACTCCCAGCTGTGTGCAGTCAGTTGCCGAGCTCATGGTATGGTCGCTATTGTGCCTTTGATAACTATATAGGCTGAATAGTTGCTGTTCAGTGTAAACACCACAGCCATGGCCTGTTCCTACTATGAAATTGTAATCTATCAGCATATTTGTACGTCCGTGAGTCACTGCTAGCGTCTGGATGTTTGCAAAGTTAGCAAACGCTGAAGCAAACCGTTACAGGGCTGGATTATCATGCGAGAGCGTAACTTTTTGCAGCGGTCGTGACACATTTGACACGGTCACTCGTTGACAGTCAGGCCTGCATTTAGTGTTTAAAATCAATGGGATCAATCTACTTCTTTCAGTCAGCTCTTTTTTTTTTTTTTAAAGAGGTTCTAGCTAAGTTCCTTCGAAAAAGGAGGCGTATGTCTCATTTCGCCTGAGCAGACTTGTAATGTCCAGGGTCACGTTGAAACACTGGATTTCTGTTCTCATCTAAATCCCTTCCTTTTACGTGTAATTTTTTAAATGGCTTATCGACCACAGGAAGCTGCTGGGCTCGCTGGGCTGGTGTGTTTTTTTTTTTGCTCGTCTCTTCACATGTTTTTCATGCTGCTAATGGAGAGAGTTATTTTTCCAAGTCCTATCATGTCACCTTAATGGTTTTTTGGTTGTTGCTTGTTTGGAGGACATACCCACCCCACCACCACCACCACCACCACCAGCCCTCCAAGCAGCATAGTGTATTTGTTTGGACCCTCAGCAAAGAGAGGATTGGAGCTGGGGTGTGTGTGAGAGGGGGAGAGAGGGGGAGAAGGGGGTGATGGGTATTATCAAAATTTCTTGTTTTTAGTTGGTTCCCATCTCATCCAGAGAGCACATTCAGAGGAGCGAACTTTGGGATCTCACTTTGTTTATGGATAGGAGTACATAAAAGGGCTCTTATAGCTCTGTCTCTCACTCTCGCTCAGTCTTCTACCCCTCCTCTTCTCTTCTCCCATAGCTTCTCCCTCTCTCTTTCTTTCTCTTTTCCATTTGGGCACTGGGGCGGGGGCCTTTGGTCATTAATAAAATGGGGAGAGATGGGGAGTGTGTGTGTGAGTGTGTGAGTGTGTGTGTGTGAGTGTGTGTGTGTGTGGTGGTGGGGGGTAGGTGGTAGGTGGGGTGGGGGGTGGGGGGGCTTGTCAGGCACAGTCAAGTGTAATCCAAAGTCTACAGCATCCTCTTCGACAACTATTTTAATGGAAATAGGGAACATATTGTATCAAGGCTACCATATCCTACTTGAAATGACAGTATCAAAAG